TGCGGCGGCGTGGCTGTCCACATCTGATCAGTGGCTGCGTCCAGGTTTGGCGTAGTGTATGGCAACTAGAAAAGTGTGGTTGCCGTTGCTGTGAGATCGGGTAGCTGGATCTTAATAGGTCATGGTGCGTTCGGAATTTGGTGCAAGCGTAACGTCGTTGCAGTGCGTGTGCGGCTGCATCTTTTCCTTCTCTTGTGCCGTTGAGGTGCGGTAGCAAAATTTCGAGGTTTTCGCGTTCGGCGACGTTGACGTTGGCGCTAGAAGCTGCTCTGCTGCGGTGTTCCGATGTTTGAGGAAACGTCTGCTGTGATCGTCTTACTCATTGCCTCCATACCTTGGAAGTGCATTCGCAGTTGCAGAAGTTGTGAGGGATCGCTGTTATCAAAGAATTTGCGGATTTGAACGTCCGCTTGTATTTTTATTGAGGGATTATTCTTCAATGAGCACAATTGGGCACATCGATCGGGCGTAGGTGTTGTTGAAGATTGCAGCGAAGGCACATAACATTCTCATGCACCGCATGTGAAGCGATGCGGCGCTGATGGCGTTGCTTGTGTTGTAAACGCGGAGTTTCCTTCTATCGGCCAGTTGCAAGCATTGTACAGGCCCTCGTTGAAGTCATGACAAAATGATCATGGTGTTGAGGCTTCTTGAACCACATAGCGCGATGTTCCAGACAAAACGTAATATGCATAGTGGGAGGATTGGTTGAGTTAAATCTAGGTTGTGTACTAGTTACAATTGACGGAAAGGTGATGATCCAGCGGCGCGGCCAGTTATGGCGTTTTGTGGTTGGCTTGTGTTTTGTGGTTGGCTTTTGTTTAAATTCTTAGATTTTTAAAGAGCTAAAGATTCTAAGAATTAAATAATTAATTCACTTATTGTGAACTAGAATAAGCTTTCAACTAGTTGAGGTTTATTTTAGCTCACAATTATATAATTTAATAAAAATAAATGTTTATTTATCAACTATGGAAGCATGGAAATTTAATTATTAAATATTACAAATAGAATTGTAAAAGTTAAATTCTTAAATCAGATACATGTTCATTTGTTTATTTATTAATACACATATTAAAAAGTTTATTTAAAAAATTCTTTGCATTGTATTGTGTTATATTGAAAAAATTATATTAATTTGTTTAGCATGATTATATTTAATAATCATTGTTAGTTGTTAAAATTTTAAAGCATGTATAGATTCATTTGTTTTTGCAACATACAAATGATGATTACAAATTATAATAATCATATTATAATTTTTGTAAAATCCAATTTTTTTAAAAAAATTCTCATCTATTTTAAATCCTTTAAAAATCTTTTTTTTTTTAAATCTTTTCAAGTATTTAATCTTGATTTTCTTTGTGCTGGTTTATAAAGATGATGTATTGCAAATTTTTATTTACTTATTTATTCTGAAAATTTTAGTAAGATAAGTTTTACTTTTATTAAATTTTCTAAATGTAAAGAATTTAAGACAAATTAAATTTTTTTTTACATAATATAAATTTCTAAAAACAATATATATATATATATATATATATATATATATACATAATATTTATTTTTTTCATATTAATTTAAAAAAGAATACTTTGAAACTTCAAAAAAAAACTATTACTTTTAAGAAAAGAAATGGTCTATTTTACATTAATAATAATAATAATAATAATAATAATAAAAGCTTCAATATTTTATATTTTAATTTTATTATACTCACAAGGACATAATTCTAATAAGATGTATTTATATATATATATATATATATATTAAACTTATGTGTATATATATATATATATATATATATAATATCTATTTGTTAGACTAAAAAAGTACTAGAATAGTTATTTCTAAGAACAAAGAAATTAAAGAGACTTGAATGGTGTTTTGAATATAAAATAGGAATTGGTAAGACCAACAATTTCTTCGATCTTACTTCTATATATTTGCTATCAAGAAGATTATGTGGAAGTTTTTTTAAAGACTATAAGTTTTGCAAGTCAAGTACCTTAGTTTTAATAATGCTCCTATAATGAATATTTAGACCTTAGAAACTTTTGAAAGAAATATCCATAGTTTTGTAACAAACTCATGAATATTTTTGGATCCTATTTTCATTTATGAATTTATTTTTTTATTTTTTTATTAAAAAAAAGGATATTTATTTAACCCGATTTTAGCTATTATAACTTACATTGGTTTATTTTAATGATGTAAGTGACTATAAAATTATGTACAGATATATATATATATATATATATATATATATATATATATATATTGGAATTTAATAAAAATAGTTTTGACAAACGGTGGAAAAAAATATATTAAAGTTATTAGTTATTGGTTAAATAGATTAAAGTCTTATTTGCAATTCTTTGATATTCATTATAGTCAATTTTTAAGAAACTTATCAAATTTTCATTTGAGATCACTTCTTTAGATCCAATTTTTAAAATACAACTAATATTATATTTTTGATACCTTACAAAAACTTGTGTAGGCTAAAGCTAATTACTATCATACAATATAACTCAGCACCAATAAGATTTTAAATATTTTTGTAAAACATTTAATACGATTTATTTATCATGTAAATATATTTATCATACAACTATGTAAATAAAGTAACTATTATATCTTAAGATATGTTAACCAATGCATACAATGTTGCTCTTTAGATTTACAAAGGAGTGTGTTCATCTAAAATGAGTTAGTATCCATGTATGTACTTACTAACTATTGTCTAAAGTGTGTCAATAAAGATTATTTGTTAAAAAATAATCATAAACCAACGAAATTCTAGTAAGTATACTGAAAGTATATTATTTTTTAAAATGTTTTCAAAAGATTATACAAGTTGAATTTTTCATATTCTTTTACAACAAAGCTTTAAATGCTTATTAAATATATATTTAATTTTTGTATTCATTATATAAATAATTTATTTTTGAAATAGATATTTCTTGTTATAATTTTTTGATGCATTTACATTGTATATATATATATATATATATAGAAATACACCTCTTTGTAAATTGGCAAAAAATTAGAACCATTGAATGTAGCTTGTACCATTTTTTACAGCAAAAATGTAAAAAAAAGATTACAAATAAATTCATCTATTTTTAGTTATATTTATATTGATATTAATTAAAAATTTAATGCAAAAATTTAACCAAAAATCAAGGTGTGCTCTATAAAGTTAATCATAATTTTTTTTAATGGGTGAATGTAATTATGTTCTCTTAAAAATTAAAATTATTGTTATGTTTTATAATATTAGCATCAAAAAAATTAATTAAGAATTTCTTGTTAGGACGTTAAAATACTTTTTGTTTTATAATGTGATCACTAATTACATAATATATTTAGAAGATCTATATTTAAAAAAAATTGAATTACATTTAAAAATTTCATCCATATTGTAGCATTAAATAAAAATATTTAATTTTTATTTGTTTTTCCATATCTATCATTTTAAGTGTCTCTAAAGAATAAATTGGTTATGTGTGATAACTTTAAAGATAAAAAAACAATTGAGTTTTTAGTCTAAAGTCAATCTGAGATAGTGAAACTTTGTTTAATTGCATTTATATTAAAAGAGGCTAAAAGAATACATATTACAACATTCAATATTATTTTGGCACTGTTGCTACACGAAAGTATTTCTTCATTAATGTAAATGTCAATATTATGTTGGGATTTGTGATTAAAATTTATTTTAAGTAGATAATCTTGTAATAATTTGTACTACTTTAGTCTTATTACTTAATTCCAGGTACTATTTGAGAGTTTATATACATATATTGGAATTAAAGAACTCACCACTGATTGTTTTTAGACAATATACGAAATTCTTTCATGTGTTTGCTACTTCATGATGTTCTTTTATTTATTTTGTGAGTAATTTTATTGTAAACCTAACTTGTACTACATTGATTTTTTATTTTAAAAAACTACTTTAATCTAAATATAAATATGTTTATTTATCTTGTATCTTTTAATATTAAATAAGTATTTTTTCTTACAATTAGTCCTATATCTACAAGATCAAAATCTAGATTTTGGTTTAGATTTTTCTTTAATAACATATACTTTCATTCATCACCTTTTCCTTTATATTTAAAAAAAAAAAAAAAAAAAAAAAAACCTAAAACAAGGAGAAGTCAACTAAACAAGGCATTGTTTTTGGAGGAATCCATGACTTTTAGACTCATCCTTCTTTCCCTCAATTCATATCCTTCCAAAATTATGTAATATCTTCCCCTATCCCACTAAAAATTTATTTAATCCTATAATTTCACTTCTATGTTGACATTCTCTCATTAGCTTCTCTATGAAACTTACACTTTACTCATTCTCATATTATAATGCTTCCTATTGAGTTCTCCTTCTTAGTTTTGTATCACCCTTGTTGTTCATTTGTGTTGCAATGTCTTCTTCTCCTTCAGTGCCCAATCAGTGCCCAAGTAACCAGACTATGGGAGTCCCAGAGCCTCATGCTTTTATTCCTTGGACTGTGTGTGTGAGGCCGTTGTTTGCTCTTTTTCTAACTTCCTGTATAACTTGCCATATTTTTTTTCTATGAAGCGAGGACCAATAATTTGACAAGATTGCTATAGCCCACCTTGACATTCGACAAAGTTTTGGTAAGGGGAACTTCCTAATGTTGACTAAACCCTAACCCTATTTTCAACGTCACCCTCAACCTGTTTTTTTATTACAAGTTTCTTACTTCAGAGGTATTGTGACTCGTACAATTGAATATGTAAAAGAAACTCGATGCTTGTTGGAAGAGTGCTCACAATCATAACGATTCAGTTATCATGTATTGCAAGATGATTCAGAAATATGGTTAAGAATAACCACAAAAGTTGACCATTTGAGCAGAGGCTGGATTTGATTGTGCTATGATAGTCATACAATCTTAAAAAACCTAAGCTGACTCTAAAGCAGACTGGAAGGCTCAACGTAAATCGTCATGGCTGATACCAGAGTTGCATCATGAAAGTCTGCAAGAAGGTTGTTGCAACGAGAAAAAATTCAAGCACATTCATTTGTTTTCCAGGTTTTTGGAGCACATCAAGCATCTTGAGAGATGGCGGCCCGTCAGCACGTCACTTCACATTCGAATTTTCGTCGAGCCTATCAAATCCTACAAATTTATCTTATGCGACAATCATTCCCAACTTGTGAAATCCTCGCACCTTTTTGCACTGCGAGACACTGCATTCACCAGGTGTTGAATTCAATCTGAAGAGAATTCTGGAAGTAGCACGTCGCAAATTTACAATTTCAATCAGACTTTGGGTCGAATAATACAAACTGTGACCTAACAGAGAGACTGTAAGACACCTTGGTTTCCTTGAGCTCTCCCGCATCAGAAGAAGTCATCGCAGCTCCGTTGCAACCCCAAAGAACATGATTGAGATGCTTGGCTTCCCTACACTCGCTGCAGTGCATCTACAGCGTCTGAAAGTCACCTTCAACAAGCCTTCATCACTGTATTCTCTAATCTTACTCCACCTAGACGCAATTTCTGAAGAACAGTAGATCCCTCAAGAACTGTTCCACTTGTCATTGATTCCAAACAGAAATGCATATGCATCTGCATTGTTCCTCTTTCAAAGATCACGTTTACAAACCACGATCCAAAACATTCGTAGCCACTGTTCTCTTCAAGTGTTTAATTCCGGAGAACTCTCTACCCAAATTCTGTACTAATCTAACAGTGCTTGCACACACAAAATTCGTCTACCAGATTTTCAGAAATTGCATCCGCTAACGTCACATAATGTGTGTGTGTGTGTGTGTTTATCTATATATATATATATATATATATATATATATTTAAATTTATTTATTTTTGTTATGGCTTATCAATCAAACTCTGCGCACAAGCAATGTGAAACTCAATCAGCACTTGGCTATTTACACAGGACGCCGAACCCCGTGATTCCTCACGCCCCTTGAGCGAAGTAAATTTTATATCAGGACCACGTTCACCTCACACTTCCTAGATCTAGATCTATTTAACCTAGGCCATCGTGCATCCCGTGCCCTTGTGTCATTGGCCTTCCATAAACCTTTATGGATAGCTTTTCGGACTTCGTTACGCATAGTTGCAGGTCATTACAGCTTACGTAGAAGTTGGGTTGCCGGCAAGCAAAGTGAGATGGTTGCTCGAAAATATTTTTCTTAGTTTAGAAATGTATCTATGGACAGTGGGGTATAGAACCAGCGTGAATGCCGAGGGATGACGAATCTTATGGCGAAAGATGCGTTACAAGTGTAGGAAGGTAAAGTTGAGTGGGTTAGGGTTTGGATAGAGCCAGTACGGTGCGTGGAAACTTTGATCCTTTGGGATTAGCTGGAAATGTTGGACAGCTATGCAGGTTGTGAAAAAAGCGATTGGAGGTAGTATACTTAGGAGACGCAAGCATGAGGTCCGTGTTGCTAGCATGGTCTCGAAGACTTGCAGTCTCCTTTCTGATGTAGGCAATGCAAAGTGGAAATAGTCTAGTTCGTGACGTGATGCAGTCGGAAGCTGGTGAATCTGCATTCATGATTCACTGTGTAAAGGATTTAAGGTTTGGGGGATGTGAACGTTAGCTCTAAATAGGGGCGTGTGTAATTGGGAGCTGAGGTTTCAGGGGGTATGCGAACTCTGTTTTATAGCATGAAGATTTTCATATGAGTGTTAGTTTCTTGTGGTGTTGCCTCATGACTGATTGCTGAAGGTCGTGGTGTTGCTTGCAAATTACAAGTGATGGTGTGGTCTTCAAAAGAGTCAGTCACCTGCCCAGTGATAATTGGAAGCGCTAATTAGTTGCTAGTTTGATCATACATAATTTGGAAGTTTTAAGGTCCTCCCAAACTATGCAGTGAGCCGCTCGAACCTATATGACGTTCAGTACAGTATTGCACGTTATTCTTGTGTATCTTTTTCAACGCTGCGAATCTTAGCAAATATTAAATGTGGGGGAATTATTTGACCAAGGGGTCCCAATAATCCAGTTCAACCTTCTTGCAGGTCTCCCAATTGCTTGAGGTTCAGTTTTGGGTATCGAGTATCTGGGGTATCGATTTCTGCGGCGCATTTAGTCAGGACTACCACTGGTCTGGTCGGAATCAATACCGCACCGCAAATATTACGGGTCTGGAAAATCCACCAGGAGCACATTGTTGTTTGCCTCACGTAGAAAATCTGCTGGACGCTCGTAGTCCCATGGCCGCCCAAGTATTTTTCAATGGCAGTTTGCTGGGAGGCATTAGTTGCACTTCAACACCCAGTTCACTTTCTGTGCCTCGATCTTCGCTGACACTACCTGTGCCAACTTCCTTGCGCAAGAGTCTTTACTCTGTATGTTATGCATTTCTCCAGCTGTTTTTCAGGGTTGATTCTTACTTAATTTGCAGTAATGGAACTGTTGCTTAGAGTAATGCTCATACAACTGATAAAATAGGAACACGAACTTTATGCAATTTGGGGTTTCACTCCTAGTAGGTAGAGTGTTTTCTCTGTTAGTCGTAGCAGTTTAGTATGTGCAGGCCTTGAGGCAGAATACTGAAATCCCACTGAGCGTGATTTGCCATGACTCGCAGATGGTAAGCTGGAAGGATTTGCTTTCTAGGCACCGTTCTTTTAAGAGGGGTATGAGGTCAAGCGCTTTAGCTGGTATGTTTTTCATTTAACTTTCTCCAAACAATTTGACAAGGTTTCGTTGGTTTGATAACTGTAATGATCTCCACTGAACTATGTCTTACAGATTCAGACTTTTCAGTGAAGAAAGATGAGATGCAAACGCAAAGTATGTTTCCAGCTGCAAGACGTGGCAAGGAGAATGCGGTTTCTACGACCACTGTGAACGCTACAAGTGTACTTCCGGAACGCAAAATCATTCATGAGACAGCGGTAGTTCATCCGGACGCCTTCATAGGTGAGGTGAGTGTCCATCTTATTTTGCCGCTAGTTGAATTCTATATCAAGTAGGTATGATGTTTATATTGTCCGTTTATAAGACTTAAGATTCCGAAACTTCTGGAAGAGGTTTATGATAGAAGTGGAAGTCTCCCACATCCAACGGCTGGATCGACAGTCGGCTGATCCCCTGTTATTTGTTTTCAGAACGCGGAGAAATATACCCTAGACATGCATGTGTAGCAGTGAAGCTCGTAGTGGGATCGTGTCGCGAACTATTCTATTGAAGGCCAAGTTGCCGTCATATTTTTGGAAGCTAAACGTAGTGCTTTAGGAAGCTATTGTACTCGCCTTTGAATGTTGATAATTCGTAATGCAGGGTGTTGTCATCAGCGCATTTTGTACAGTGGGACCTGGTGTTTCAATAGGAAATGGCTGCAAGTTACATCCTAGTAGTCACGTCTGTGGGAACACGGAACTTGGCGAAGGCTGTGAAATCATGAAGTATGTTCTCATCTTTTTATGCTGTTTCTTGCACTAAATCTCTTAATAATTTTTTGGTCCCAAGATAAGTAGGTGATGAACTGTGTATGGTATGATTAATCTTGTATCTCTTATAGATACGCCAGTTACTAAGTTAGCAATAATGTTCACATTAAGTCTGAGAAATGTCGGACAACAGTGGTGCAGTGGTTGGTTCAGATTTACCTGGGCGCACAGTTATTGGCAACCATAACACTATTGGTTATCATGCTGTTGTTGGGGTGAAGGCTCAGGACTTAAAATATAAGGTGTGATTCTATCACGTTAATTACATTCATGATTATCTTTGAGTGATTTGATCCAAAATAGTAATCCCAAACGACATTCTGGCTGCCTATGTTGGTCGGTATATTATTCAGGTTTTTTGGCTTAAAATTTTCCGCGACTGTTTTTATCTGATGGTTTGATGATGCAAAGTGGTCTTTCTGGAGTTATTGCATATTGAGAGGGCATCCTCTCACTCTCATGTTTGTGTAACATGCTGCAGGAGGGAGATGAATGTTTTCTTCACATTGGTAACAATAATGATATCCGGGAGTACGTTAGCATACATAGGTCCTCTAAACCAAACGATTGTACGGTATGTGATCAGTTTTCTCCTCATACCACTTAACATCAACTTTTTCTGTGACTCTGCTGATGGATTGTTTATAGTGATGATTGAATGCTCTTTTGAATTTTTTATTATTCCCTGCAGGTCATAGGCGATCATAATCTGTTCATGGCTACTTCTCATGTTGCACACGATTGCAAGTTGGGGAATCACAATATACTAGCCAATGGCACCCTCGTCGGAGGCCATGTCATAATTGGGGTAAATCTAACTTCTCATTAGAACTTATGTCTTTGGCAAATGTCTTTCTTGTTAAAGGTATAGTTTCTGGTAGAAAAGTGTCTGAAGCCAAATGTTCATGTGTTTTAATTAAATCAGATTGTTGTTGTAATTGTGATAAATACGAGACATATGAGTTGGTAAATGGCTAGCTTTATCAGCTCTGTCTGGTTTGTTATAGGTACTGCTATTACTAGCACAATTAAATGCACTAGGCGTCACAGGATATGAAATGTTCTGCCTTTGTAAAGCTACCTAGTATGCGATCTATTGTGATCGAATGATTTAATGTTCTCTATGCAGGACTACATACACACTGGTGGGGCGGTTGGAATACATCAATTTTGTCACATTGATTCTTACTCTTTTCTCGCCGCTGGTGCCATGGTACTCCATCCTTAAACATCATTTAACATTTCGTTAGTTTTGTTGTTGCCATGTTCATGCCTCGGTATCTACTCTCTCGTACTGCAAATGAATGAGGATTGGTAATCAATCATGTCGGAAAGATGATTGGTGTGTTATAATGCAACTAAATTCTGTAATGTAAAAATTTGCTCTCTTTTCCTTGAATATAAGACGGATACCTCTTTGAAACTTTATCAAATTGCTTACATGTTCCATCTCGGAGTTAATGAAAATGTAGTTTCACACTGAATGTCACATCTCCACCAGGTTACTAGGGACGTCCCCATGTACATTATGGTCTCAGGGAATCGTGCCGAATTGAGGGGATTGAATTTAGAGGGCATGCGGCGCCTCGGATTTTCTGATTTGGAGGTGATCTTCGACCAACTATTTTAAAGGCTTAGCAACTAATGCAGTTGACTTATTTATTGTTTCAATTTATGAATTTTGTCAACCCTCTCCTGGCTTAGACTCCAATGCCGTTTGCAGATTAAAAGTATTCGACGGGCATATCAAAAGCTGTTTATGAACAGAGATGTAGGAGCAGGGGGTCTTGAGGATCGCCTTGCTGACTTGGTATGTACTTACACTTGGCACAGTGGCCCTTGTTATTCGCATCGTCCTTGAGCGATCGTTGTCCTAACCTCTGAAATTCTTACGTAGATTACTCGTTCGTGTGCAGGAAGCTAATGAGGATTTGGCAAATGTTCCAGCTGCTGTGGCCTTGCTCCGGTCTGTGCGCAACTGCTTAGGGGAGAACCGTAGAGGAATTTGCACGTACAGACTGTGGAATAGTGGGAGTTGAGAGTTATAGAAAGAACCTTCTTTAAATTCAACTGCATCTTCGACGTGACCTTTTCTATAGCAAATATCAATACATGCCTGTCTAAAGTTCACCTGGGCATTCAAATAATGGTTTTACATTTCAAGGACAGAGAACTTGTGTGGGGCCAGATATAATCACTCCTCACCTGCAAATGAAGCAGTGGGAGCAAAGTAATGTCTATCAAATAGAGACAGTAGCCTCCAGAAAGGGCCTCTGTATTACGAGTTCTGAATTATGAGTCAGAATCACAAGTTTTGAATAGCTGGGTTCGGTCACTCATCCACCTACACAGATAGTACGCATTCATCTGCTCTTTTTGTGCCAATCTTTTTCAGAGATGCTGAATTTTCATCTATATTACAGTGTGCATTCCACTCGACTTCGTGGCCCTGAGGCAACTCATGGTTTCCAGTAGCAGTGGCTGTAAACAACGTGTTAAGACAGGATGTCTTGAAAGATGCATAAATTTGTCCTTCAAGTTTGTGTGGCAAAATCCTCCTCAAACGAATATGTTCATGATGTAAAACAATCTTCATCAAAGGCAGGCAGAACGTGTCACAGAAGTTTCAATTATCAGTTTGATTTAATTCTAGCTTTGTATACATACTTCGCCTAATTTTTCTTAAGTTAATAGACTGTCATCATCGTATGGCTTTAAATAGAATAAAATTCAAAACATAACTTCTAAAACGTGCATAAAGTTCTTATATAATTATCATTCAAGTAATAAAAAATATGTGTTTGAATGTTTGGGAAGAAATATTTTATAAATAATTATTTATGTATTTTGAATCAAATACGTCTACCATCTCATATGGTTATTAATTTCAGCAAGAGTAACAAGTTTTTATTTATTTATATTCTTCTTTATTATTTCCCAACAAAGAGCATTTTTTGTTTTGCACAGACACGCACCCCACCCCCACCCCCCCACACACACATTATATATTCTCCCGTGGATAGAAATGCTAACCATGAGGAAAATATATGACTTCCCCGTACTGACCATAAGACTCAATAGTGAAATTTGTAGCTGTTGAAATTTCTTAATTCAAACTTCGGATTGTTAGAAACACACAATCAACATTTCAAGAGAATAAGAAATAGAAAACATAATAATACAAGACCTCAGTTTGAAAAGGAAATCGAAGTTTTCAGATCTACTTCATGTGGACGTTTTTTGAAGACTTGAAATTTGGGTTCAATTGAGAAGCGCACAGAAAAGCATTAAATACTATGTTGTTGCCTCAGTGATGCATATATTCCGATCACGATTCAAGCAGGTCCTCGTTTCTCATATTTCTATGCGCATTTTCCAGGTTTTTCTGGGCAATGCTACTACAGAACTGATGAAATCATAGTGATCTGAGCCTCATCGTCATATCTTCGTACTCTGAAAAAAATATCAAACTGTTCCCTTAGCATTGTCTTAACACCAGAAGTAATGTTGAACTGCTTGTTCTTAACATCCTCAACTGCACCACTTGCCTCCTCTACATCTTGATCATCAAGACAAAAGTTGGAATGAGGAAGAATTTTGCCTGCTATTCATCAGAAAAGTCTAGTATCAGGTTCTGATGAGTAGGATCGTGTTACACAATGCGCGTAGCTTATAAATCAAGAATTGTTCAAAGAAATGGTGATGCTTACCATCACAGCCACCTTCACAGCACTATTTCTGTAGGTATGTGGTTGTATGAACGAAAAGCCATGTGCTTTCGTAGGCTTATGTGCTTCACCTGGTTGTGTTGGTAAAGTTTACCATCAGTTCCACTATCCGCATTTTCTAAGCGAGCATGTTGAGACGCCACTAGGTATGAGGTGACCCATTATATCATATGACAACCCCCTTTGATCTCCTTGATTGTAATTTCACCAAAACAGTTCTACAAGGACAAGGACTACGATTAGGATCGTGAAACAAACTAGACTGCACACTCAGCTGCTGGAGGAAGCAATAATATAAGATATGTCAACACGGCCATTTTTGAAGAAAATTCAATTATCGCTTGTGCCTATAATCATTAACACTGGGTACACCTTCTGAGACCTAAATTTTAGGGCAAAACGAGTTCCCTGTGATGGATGAGCGAGCCCTAGCTCCCACTTTGGCAGATGCAAAAACAGCAAGGATAAAAGTTGGCAATCGTGCAGACATAATGTACCCTCAGATGCAAGCCAGGGCTTGATTACAACCACTCCAAAGCTTCGGTAAGGTATTGCTTGCGGAAACCTATAAGTGGTTACTACAAGTTGATAATGCAAATGGTTGAAACACAGAACCCCAAAATGTCTACTTAACGTAACGAGTTCTGTGGAACCGAAGGTACTGATAGTCACGAGGCTGCATTTGCATGAAGATAGTCCAACCACGCAGTCAGAAACCTTCAGGTGAGGAGCGTGGTCTCAGGACCTTCGCCCCATCTCCACATGCGAACATCTTTGGTAGTGGAAAGAAATCCCCTCGCCACCATTTATGTCTTACGACGCTTCGCCCACCAGGGGGCAAAGCCTCTCTTAATAATGATAAATGAGGCCGCCTCCGGTCCTTGGGCCACCAATTATTACGATGGTTGAAACCATAGTCCTAGAGTGGCAGGACTGAAAGCGCCCTACTCTAGGTGTGGAATTTCAATAACGTGACAGTGGCAGCAGATGAGATGACATAGTTCTTCCAAGAGCAGAGCCTCAAGGTCCTCTAATGCTCGTGATTCGGGAGAGAATTTAACCCCCTGTTGCAGAAGAGGTTGAGCTAGGTTCTACTGTTTCCTCTTATCCAAGTGATGCAGATGTTTCCACGGCTTCAATATACAAATTCACTAGGAATGTATTCAAAGGCATTATACCAAGATACATGGATTAGGTAGCTACGGATCTACTCTAGATCGAAAAATACTGTTTGTTTGTGGCACATTTCAGTAAAGAAACTCTTACACACGGAATTAAAATGTGACAACAATGTACACTAGAAACACCTGCAATGATAAATTACCTTCAACACTTGCACTTCTGATCCCTCAACACCTCGCTAAGCATGGAATCTTGACAGCTTTTCTTTTTCACTTAAAACCTCGAGCTTGAATCTCCCTTGTCCGTACGTCAAACACGAGTGTACTTTCCCAAAACTTCAACATTTGAGCCATTTTTTGAAATGAGCCTCCATACTCTCTCTATGAGCAGCTCTTCCTACATTGACAGTAGCAAGAACCTTTTGAGGCCTCAAGAACTTAACAAATTCTTGAAGCTCTGAGTAGCTGGAATGTTCACTGTAAGGAACTCCGTAAATAGTGACAACTCCACTACGCTGGGGCTTTAGTTCTGATAAATTGGAACCTATTTTCTCTGAGTAAGTCCAACCTGTAGGCCGAAAAGCTAGTACTGCACTGTAAGTGGGATGTAAGGACTGCATGTAAGCCCTCAACTTTGTAGCATTCAAGTGTGAGATCGGTAGCACATGCAGTCTGCTACTGCTTGCATCTGAACATAACCTGTCAGTCAAATCAGGCCAATCAAGGGCTCGCAAAGTCCGTACACGACGTTTGTCTGCATAAATCCTTAAGCTAAGTGCCTTGGCTATCCCTAGATACACGCGCTCTTTGCCAATACTATATGCGCCAACTGTAACTAATGTCTTTGGATTTCGGGACAATGCTGCTGATGTCAGTTTAACAACATGATTGATCACATCTTCCTGGAGGGGGAAGTTATATTTAGGATTACAATAAGTGGTGTCTAAGTAGAGAGATGTGATGCGAGCACCAAGGAGCTCGGGGTAATCTTGCATACTTTTGCAAGCCCGAAAATCACCTGTGTGTAGGATAAGCTGCCCACAAGACGTTTGAAAAAGTATAAGCGCAGCGCCAGGGCAGTGATTTGCTTCCAGAAACTGTACCTTGACGCCTTCAACTATGGACACACAACCGAGCTTCATTGGACGCAGCCAATGTGAATCAACACCTAAATGCATCGACACAAGGCGGGCTGTAATTTCAGTGCAAAATATAGGGCCATGAGACCACGATCTGGTAAGTCCTCCGTAGTGATCGCTGTGAAAATGTGTGAGGAAGTAAGCTTTGCATCCCTCTACAGCTCCAAACTTAAACGCATCAACTGTAAAAGGTGTCCCTGGCATTTTCTTGTAAAATGGGCAATTCTTGACGGTCTCACGGTTACTTTTCCAGCCATTATTGCCCGTCCTTTGCCCATCCTCTATACTTGCTCGTCCAGGGGTTGGGAATCTTGGTCGTAACTTGGCAAAGAAGCTTGCTGCTGTAGAGGCCTGCTTCGCAAGGGGAGCCAATCCGAAGTACGTGCCTATATCTTGCTGATGGGTCTTCTTTTGAGGCACTTTCGCATCAACAGGTGATTTGCGCTTAAATCCTAGAAAGGATGAGAGGTCGCCTTGCTTAAGTTTTGAAGAACGACTCAAAAGATTAGCATTATTCTCTTCCTTGAAGCTCGGCCCTAACGATGTGATTTGAGATTTTACGGCCTCGGATATTGTTTCCGGTCTCACTATCTTACACTGTATCCTGCTGTCCACATTCATAAGTTTTTCAGCATCGATCGATGCGCAATCATGCTCAGAGCTCAATTGCGGACTACTTGCACATGGGAATCCATACTCGTCAACTTCATGCAGTGCACTCCAGTCAGTTCCCCCGGCGTAGAAAGCGTTCTTAAAGCTTAGATCTGCACTTCCCGAGATCTCACATGGTGTCTCATTCAATTGAGGATCTGACAGTTCATGTGTACCTAGCAATACGGCAATACTTGCACCCTTATTGTCCTCACATAAGAATAAATCGTCTCTGAAAGCTGAAGAATCATCAAAGGCGTCTTGAGTACTACTCGATCCACCTGAAATTGAACATGATCGATTCGCTTTACCGAACCCTGGTTTGCAGCCTTGAACCATTCTCCCTGAAACGTCACATTCCTCAAAACGAAAGTGCTTCCTGTCGATGGCACTCTCCGCATATGTGTATTTGGTATCCTCAAGCTCTTCTCTTAGTGCTGCAGATTCTTGTGGAACCACTTTAGTATCGAAGAAAGAACCAGAAGAGTTGTCGCTTTTGCTGCACGGTGCCAGGGGCCTGTCGTACTGACTTAGAACCTCTTCCAACACATCCAACGGCAACTCTTCTTCTGCATCACAAAATCCATCTAAAAGGGCTTGCTCAACCGTTGTGATCAAGTCTCTATCATTCTGCAATCCTTCGGAAATTCCTGATACAAGCTGTGTGTCCTCCTGAAGTGGGATTCTTTCATTACCATTCCTAGTGATTATGGTACAATCCTGATCGTCAAATTGCTCTATGTTGCTTCCCGTAGTCCCGCTGCCAAAATTTACCTGCTGAATGCTTATCTTCAAATCTCCTTCTGCACCAATATCTGCCAGAGTTTTCTGTGAACTTGCGTTCCTAGATGGCTGCTGCGGTACACCATGGCCTCGAAGCGATAATCTCTTTTTCTTTGCAAGAGGGAACTTGCACTTGATGTCCAAAGTGCAAGCCGCCTCCTCCATCGCTCTGGCGCTGAAAGACGGAAGCTCGATTTCACGACCACAATTGGCAGTTCATTACCCTCATGCTGCCAGAAATTGCCCTAATACGTACAAAGAGTATATCATTCTTTAAAAGCATTCGTCTTTCCAGTACAAGCTTTTGCAATTTGAAAACAATTGGTCAGAAACGAGGACTTCTTAAAAATGATACAAGAATCGTGTCGATGAGACGACTTGCAAAATTTTCACGAGACCAGTAGCAACAACTCGGTAGGCAAGGGGTCCGCTCCAACTTTCATAAGCTCTCAACAGACTCAGAACTTACGACAATTTGCAAGAGAACCACACTGCGGAGCGTATTAACATGAAATTTCCGGTGCCTTCACCTTATCAGAATCACTTCACAGTTGAATGATAACACATCCAAACTAAAATCCACGCTTATTGAACACTCACACACCATACCTGACATCCCTCGCAATCTCGTAACACCAAAGCCGCTCGGCAAAATTCCACTTCGAAGTCCCATTGCAAAAAATCTCCTGTTGAAACCCAATCTCATTTGAGACGCCGAATGAAATCATCATGTATTCAGGGCTTTGCAAGCTCCCCGAAGTCGCGCAAGCAGTAGAATGAGTTTCGTGAGAGACAGGTTGACATAGGGCAAAAGAGAAAAATCTATGGCATTATCCAGTTCATCCAGGCAGATCTGAAACACCTTGTAGTTCAACAAGACCACTACAATGGTTCATCTTCAAAAAATGGGTAATTGAAAAGGGAACCACACTGCGCATCAGAGGTAGATAAAAAAGCACACGGACTGGAAATAACAAACTCAACGCGCAACTCATCGCACGCACAAAGGCAACACAACGTAAGCACACAAACAAAGCGCAATGCGAGCTTCCGTGGCATGCAAACTTGCCGGAACCACCATCCCCTACCACGTGATACAACAACAGAGTACTGGGATAAACTACCCACCAAGAGACTCGGTGAGAAGCTCGTGCGGAGCACACAGATTCGCTTGTCCAAAACCTTGCTTCCTTCCTTCCATAGCTTCAAAGCTTCTTCGCGACGACGCTGGCAACGGAAGCGTCTCGTTACGTTTCAAAAACTGGCGGGTGAACTCCCCCATCCTTTCTCATCCACGAACTATTTTCTCGTTTGTTCGTCCGTTTTGTAAACATCGTTCATTATTCGCTGTTCGTTCGTTCGTCAAATTTTTTATCTGTTCGTTGTAAATTCGTTCGCTAGTTCGTCCATTGATTGGTTCGTTAGTTGGTTCACTTGTTCGTTCGTCTGTTGCCCCTTCATCGTTCGCTTGTCCCGACATCAATACAATAGTGACGCCAACTCATTGTGGGTCACTTTCGGCACCATCTCATACTAGTTTTTGTGATACTCTATGTTAATTATTTTTTTAAATTATTTTAAAAAATTACTCGAGTATGCTAGGAGGATGGGATATTGGGAGAAAATATCTCAAAGAATCTTAGATTAAGGAGAGGTCTATAGATTTGGATTTACAACTTCTAAAAACTTCTTTTTTTTGGGTGCATGCAAACATGGAGTCGTGCTGCAAAGTAGGGAACCCCTACAATGTCAAATCTTAATCTTATTCTTCTTCCCTATTTTCATTATTTTAAATAGTTTTTTACAATTTTTTCTTTTGTTTGTTATTGTAAATTTGAAGGTTCTTAGGTACCAAGTGGATACTACAAAAGAATAAACAGGTAGAGGATTTATATTCAAAACTTCTACATAGATGAGTCTAATCCTTTATGTAACAATTAAAAATAATAGAATCAGTTGCACTTGCATTTTGTGTTTGATTATTGGTCTATATTATGTTCTACTAGTTTTAGAATTTTTATATTTATAAATATATATAGGTATATACATATAAAAATATGCTAAAAATATGTGTATTTTAATCAATTATTTTGATTATTTTTTTAATCAATAATAATTGAGATATAAGATTGTTGAATAAATCTATGTTTAATATTTTATTTAAATAAATATTCGTATATAAAAATCAAAATAATCTAATTTAAAAAATGCATAAAATGCTTAGTAAAAATCATATGGGACACAGTGAGAATCCCATTAAGATTTGATAAGCATCTTAAATAAAGCATACAGATTTGCTTGTTCAAGTCATTCTTTCTTTTTGAAACCTTTAAAGCTACTTACAAAGTTTCTACAAGGACTACACTTTTTTTCTAGTATATAGAATAGAAGCCATTCTACCTATAAAATTATTGAAATTGTTTTAAAGAATATAAGAAGTAAACATTAATTACAACATGAATGTACTTAGTTATTTTTATAGTGGTCCTAAGCCAAATATATAGATTACTTCTAAACTTATGATATTGTAAGGTTGTGTCCAATGCATAGGCAACAAACTTTATTAAGTATTCTTTTATATAAGTCATTGTTGCTTCCATTGTGGCTAGTTGAATATGGCAAAGTTGTTATCAAATTATGTATCAAATAGTCTTTAGTTTGAATCTCAATACAAGTATAGATATTATCCAATATTAAACTAATAAACTAAATAGGAAGTTGCTACATGTAGAGACATATTGAGTTAAATCTAAAAAATTATTATTATTTATTTTTTAGTAACAATCTTAAAGTTCTTATGAATTCTTATGAATTCTAATAAATAATCAAATAAGAATTATAAGAATCTTATTAGAAAAAAAGTCATATAAATGGTGTCTTAATAAGTCTTTAAAGAAATTATCTTAGTTGGTTTAGTATTTTTTTAATGGTAAAAATTAGTACTTAGTTATTCAAACCAATATCTACATTGGTCTTCTATCAATATATACTATTTATTCAAAGCCTATAAATTTTAGTAAGTAGGTAGAAGAAGCATAAAAAAAAATCATATATTATTAATTATTTATTTTAAAAATAATATTTTTGGTTGATTTAAATTAATTCTATTATTATAAAAAACTAAAAAGATTTTTAAAAGTATCTTTTAATTGATATTAGCATTATAAAAATATTAAAAGTATTTTTATAATTTATTTATAATTTATTTACGAATTTTTAGAATATATTTTTAAAACTTTGATAAAAATAATTTTACCACCTTAGAATTCTATTGTAAAACATTTGAGTAAGGATTGAAGACATTATGAGTTTTGTTATTCAATACCATGGTGTAGTCAAATTGCATAAAAAGTGGTTTTACTAATAGAAAATAAGAAGACCAATAGTTAATGTAGTAGTTATAGGAAGGAAGGTACACATGTGTCATGTGGATTGTAGCACCTTAGATATAAATAAGAGTATAAGACTAAGGCTTTGTGGCATCTCTATAAGAAGTTTAAAATAGGATGCAAGATTTAGTGGTAGTATTAGACATGTATTTGATGGTCTAAAGTAAAGTAATATAACTATAATATTTCTGTTATAACTAGATAACTTTACATTTTAGTTTTGTATATTTAAATTTACATTTATTTCTTTGTATCCTTTTGACTTCATGTAACAATATTGTATCTTATGACTTTCTTTTTTATAATATAAATACAAGTTTTTACAACAATATTTGTTTGTTTGTTTGTTTGTTTATTTGTTTGTTTTTTTCTTGATATTAATCACTTGAATTGACTTGTATCAATTTTTGTACATTATAGTCTTAATAAATAATTTAAAAATATATATATTTGTTATCATCACTTCATTTGTTTCTCATTAATCATATCTTTGTTCTTAATATCTTTTAAAGAATTTATTATGCATGTAATGGCTTAAGCAATAAATTATTTTAATAATTTTTTATTTTTCTATAATTAATAATAAATATTTAAGACTAACTTTTAACTATATAAAAAATAATTGATAAGGACTTTATCATTTCAATCCACAATAGAAGCAAGATTTTAGACTTTGGCAATATTGCTATAAATTAATTAAGATTCTTATCGTAAAGATTGGAATTTTTAATTTTTCTATTTTTTTAAAAATATGGCCATAAATACTTCTTAGAATAAATTTTGATCGTATAAAAATTACAAATCTTTTTTTAATATAGTGTCAAGGATATACATATTTATTTAAATTTTAAAAATTAAATAGACATAAATAAAAGTATATAAATAATATCTTATTAGAAAAGCTTCTTAAAAGTTATATAGATTTGGATTTAAATTTATATATATTTATAGGTGATTATTAAATTGAAAACTTGACCAATAAGTTGGCCATGTATTGCACATGATGACAACTTATGATAAAAGGTGGGCATGTGGCGTTGTCATAGACATACATATTTATTTTAATATTTACTTATATTATTAAGTAAAAGTAGATAAAATTAGATTTATTTTATAATATTTTCTAAAAAAGCTACCTAAAAGCTTTATAAATATTGTTTTATTTTTATATGTATTTATAGTTGATTCGTAGGTTAGAAACTTGATCAACAAGTTAACTATGTGTTGATAGCTTATGAAACAAGCTAACTATGTGATGCACATATAGAAAACTTGCCTTGCAAGTTAAGATATGTGTCTTATAAAGTCAACACGTTTTGGAGGTCATATAGGACATTGCTACATAGCTCCTAATTAAGAATATTTATAGAGACAAGAGTGAAGTCTTCTTCACGCTTCTCAATGTATAATAAGGTATAAATAAAATATTTATATTATTTATACATAAGGATAGATAGTTAGAATCATGTTTGAAAAGTTATGGATGTTTTTAGAATTATGATTAGATTAGTGGACCAAGTAGGATCCATTGTGGAACATTCTAAAAAGAATTTAGGGTGTTTATTTAGGTAGGATCTACCATAGTAGCTTCTAAAAAAGACTTAGGGTAGTTATTTAAGTCAGGCCCACCATCGAACCTTCTAAAAGGAGTTTAAGGCGGTTATCAAAGTAGAGTCTATGATCTGAGAACATTCTAGAAAGTCTAGGGTGATAGAAAAAAGTATAAATAGGATTGATTAGGACCTTATGAGGAATCTAGTTAGATATGGCTTTGGACCTTCTCTCTTAATAAAGTTTAATTTTGCATCTTTCTATTCTATTTTATTTATTTTTATTTCCATTTGTACAATTTTGACTTTTATCTCTTATTTTGTTTAGTTATGTTAAGTTTTATTTTGATCTATTTTATTCTACCTTGTGATGAGATTTTATATTGTTGTTGGTTAGAAGAGTCTTAGGCTCTCTAGATAGACAGGTCCCATTTCATTGGTATCAGAGCAAGTGTTAGACTGTTCTTTGGTAGTCTGTCGATAGTCATTATTTAATCCAAAGGTCAATCGTTGTGGTTACAGCGGATATTATGTTGAAGCTACCACAAGCTACTCTTAAAAAGTCAACCGCAAGTGAAAAGGCATTACAATAGTCAAGTCTAGCAAAGAAATTACAACATGAGAGATATGACAGAGCAATTTCAAATAGAGGCTCAAATACAACACCTCTTAGATCATATAGCTATTTTACAAGGACAAATAAAAGCTTCGAGGACAAGAAACTTGACATCTGCTAGGTTGAAATTGAGTAAGCCTACTATATACTTTAAGTCTTAAAGATAAGAAGATGTATATCGATGATTCTTCAATATGCAACAATACCTCCAATTATGTGAGGCAAATATCATTGAAGAAATTATGTATGCAGCCAACTATTTGAAAGATGCAACAGCCATTTGATAGCAACATTGAGTACAAAACTATAAAACTTAAGGTAGATTTTGTTATTGGAAGGAATTTGAGACTGAGTTTAGGAATCAATTTCGGCCCATCAATGCAAAGAAGATAGTATACAATCACTTGATAAGTCTTATACAATTTAGATTGGTGCAAGATTATGTCTCTTAATTCAAGTCCCTTTGTCTCTAAATTAGTAATATTTTGGAAGTGGAGATGATGGATCAATTCCTATGAGGTTTGAAACCTAGGATCAAGCGAGAAGTAGATCTAAAGGATCCATAAACATTTGAAGAGGCAATTTGGATTGTAGAGAGAGTCAATGCTATAGATTTTAGAAATCATGGAGCACGATCTATAGCACAAAGTCCTATGCCGCTACCTATTATTATGATACAA